TGGACCTAGCTATGTCAAACTTACTTCCCTTGCCACTAAACAACAAAGAGCTTTGGAAAAAGTTTAATACATGCTAAATAAGAGCGATGATATGTTTGGTGAAGAAATGGATCAGTCGAAAGCTTTGGCTGAAAGTCTTCAGAGACTTCATACCAAGTTTGACGACCTTCACAGCTGCAGAAGGCTGAAGAAAGCGCAGTACAAGAAGCAGCGCTATCTCAAGGACAATGTCCTCACTCTTACCCCTGACCAACTCGTTGTCTTTCAAGCTGAAATCAAGCAACTGAATGATGAATTTGATCGTTACTATGCTGATTGGAAGGGCGCCAAGGTTCAGTTCATCAATCTGACGAAGAAATTCACTTCAAGTGCTGCTCCTCCTGTGCACATTGAAGTTACACCGGCTGAAGTATCTGCTCAGCCTACTGAAGAACATGCCAGCACCACTGATGACAATCAGGCTGCTGAAGAAAATGAGAGTACCAGGGCTGATGACTCCATTCCAGCCGCTGAAGAAATTGCCAGGGCATCCACTAGTGGTACGCCTGAAGAAAGTGAAGAAATCAGGGCAACTACATCAGTTGCGCCTGAAGAAAATGAACCAAAGTCCTCTGCACCTCCTGCGCCTACACCAACTCCAATCCTTCCATCTGCATCAGATGCGAAGAAGACCAAGGCTGCAGAGCGTGCAGCTGCGAAAAAAAGGAAGGCATCAACTTTATCAAATTCTTCAACTCCGAAGAAGATGAAGCCACTGACTAGTTTAATTAACAACCCAATTAATGTCGTTCCAGTCTTTTTCATGCCATCAAAGGACCTTGTTCCTTTTGGTGAAGATTATGTGATTCTCAATGAATCTGATGAAGAAACTCCTTCTGCTGCTTCGACAGACCAGTTGTACGAAGAAATTGAAGTGAATGCAATCCCTTCAACCCCAGTCATTTCCTCACTTATGCCTCAGTTCACTGCTGAAGAGGCAGGTGTCGAAGAAATGGAAGATGAGGATGTGGACATTGGCTGTACCACTCTTGTGCTCAATGATGATTTTTGGGAAAGTCAGCACCCCAACTCTCTAATGTTCACTCTACTCCAAACAATTCCTCAGTCCCCAGCTGCTACTGAAGTACAAATGGGATCTGAAGAACCTCATACAGCTCCGTCTGTCCATGAAAAAATTTCAGCCACTAGTGTTGAAGAAATTATAAATAAAGAATTGAAGACCCAGGCTGAAGCTGCAGAAGAGCCTGAAATTCCTCAGCCTGAGGAAACTGAGATTGTGATTCCTGAGGTGGTGATGTAATTGACTGACACTCCTCAGCCCAAGCTAAAGGATCTCTTTCTTCAAGTAAAAATTCAAGGTTGATAATTTCTTCGGCGAACATGTGTTCTTCACTGAATTCAATCCATATGACAATACTCGTCTTAGAAGAAAGCGTTTCTAGACTGCCAGCCAAGCAAACTTCTATTCTTCACTGCTTTTTAACAAGGACAAAGTCTTCGACCACGAGCACATTCCTCACATGGACATGGAATCCATGCCTTGCTTCTCTCAAGTCTTCAGTATGCTTCATGATGCAGGCTTGCTCAACTTTTGCTCTGACATTGTTGATTGAAACGAAGAGCTTATTCTTCAATTCTACGCAACGCTGCATATCACAGGTGATGCTGGTAACGTCAACTCTTGGGTGTTGGACTGGATGACTGAAAACACTCATTATAAGGCATCAGCCTATGAATTGCTTCGTGACCTGCCAGTCAGTCCTTCACCTGAAGGTGCTCGTTGTCTGTATGATAAGCTTGAACTCACTGTTCACTATATGCAAGTGCTCATGAAGCCTCTGAAGTCTGGTCAAGCCCCAAGGACCAAATTCCTCGTGAAGGAATTGCTCTATGTGCCAAGGACCATCTATCGCATTCTGACGAAGACCATGAGTCCTATCAAAGGCCATGACTCATCCGATGAAGAAATTATTGGGATGATGAAGAATATGCTATTTAACATAATGCATGACATCCCCATAAATTATCATGATTTCTTCATGAGAACTCTAACAAATGTTGCACTTTCACCTTTTGAGCTGAAGCCTTACGCGCCGTGGATTATGAGATTCCTCAGAACAAGGTTTTCACTCAATTACAAGACTGATTTTCAGAATCACCTCAGCTACTTGCCCCCTATTGAAGTTCTCAAGCGGACATTTTCCTCATCTAATGAGAAGGGCAAGTCACCAACCGTTATCGATGAAGGCATTCGTTCATTGGATGGTCAGTTTCGCAAAGCTGCATCTTACTCCACCAATGATGACTCTGTCACTCATGATTCTGCTGCCAGTGCTACCAAGTCAAGTCCTCAAGCCACTGCTCCTCGTGTGATGACTGACCGTGAGCTGCTTCTAAGTCTTCACCAGAAGGTGGATCGAAACCACAAATGGGTTAAGCGTCAGTTTAGCCCTATTCTTCACAACATGACTTCTACACTTAATGCAGTGAAGAAAAACCATTACTATCTCCATGAAGTTTTTGATCGCACCTGGGCTATCCTGTCACATCTATATGGTGAAGAAGATCTGAAGCAAATGGGCTTCAAGGAAGATTTTGACTGGTATGCTTCTCCACCGAAGAAATTCAAGAAGATTAAGGTTCCTTCCTTGGTGGCCAGTTCATATTCTTCATCGCGCGCCACGGACGAGTATGAAGACTTGAACGACACTGCAGCAGGCCCTACAACGACTCAAGACCCTGACAACGCTAGCGCTCCTCCATCATCATGATATTCTTCAGGGGCGTTAGTCCTCAGTTTCGACCTTTTTGGTCATTCGAAGACAAAGGAGGAGAAATTTGAGTTAGTCTTCAAGCGGGTCTATCTTATATGGGCTTTTTTTTTGCTAAGTTACAACTCTCGCTCTTCTGATGACTTTGTCGATCGAGTTGTAATCTTAAACTCTATGGTGGTCTGATACTTTTGTTGTGTTCTTCTGCATGCTTATTCCTCATTAATGTCAATGCACGCATGCTGAATTACATCAGTCACCATATTATCATGCATTTCAAAATCTTCATATTATATGTCAAATGCGTGTATGAATTACAAGATATAGGGGGAGATCTCCATGATTATACTCTTCATGTGTGCAATGCTTCAAAAGCAAATTCCTCACTATGCACATCTTCAGGGAGAGTTCTTTTATATCTTGCAATCAAATTTCCCAAAATCAATACTTACAATTTATATATTTATCCCCATTGAAAACTTAATCTATATTGTCATCAATCACCAAAAAGAGGAGATTGTAAGTGCATCTAGTGCCCCTTAGTGATTTTGGTGTATTGAAGACTTATAGGTTAAGGGACTGATGCGTTTGTGAATGTACACAGGTTTAAAAGTCTATGAGGAGTTTAATATTTACAGAGAAAGTCGACCCCTAAAAATGAAGTTCTTCAACTGAAGACTTTGAATTTTTAAAGACTTTCTGAAGACTTTGAAAGTGAAGAAATTGGTGTGACCTTAAAGACTTGGTATTCATTCGAGGAACATGAAGCGTGAAGACTTTTATTTTCGTAGTTTTATTTTCTCTTTCTTGAGTCATAGGAAACATCGTACTGTTAAAGGGGGTCGAGGAAATACAAAGGAAAAATTTCCATGTGATGCTCAACTCAAAATCCTACACCTACCAATCCCTTCGAGTGAAGCCATTGAAAATCTCATACAGTTCAGTCATATTCTTCAGTGACAAAGACGAAGTTTTTCTGGTCTCTGAGAAATTTGTTCTGACTAAGAAGTTAGGAATTCGCCAGTGCGGATTGCCTACACAGTGAGGAACATGATAGCCCTGAGGAATTTGAGAGTTAAAATTCCGATCGTTGCTGTGCTATGCGCCAGCTGTCCTAAAATATCTACCCACCTAACGGTCATATCAGACAAGGGCATTTATGTCTTATCATGTCGGGCTGCTCCCTACGCTATAAATAGCCACCCCCTACAACCACTAGCTGGTTGGCTGCTCCGAGAGAAACTAAAACTTGTCATTTGAGAGTATCCCATCCTCCGAGGACTTTGAGCGAAAATCATCAGTGAGGAAAACCCAAACCCAACACCTACAAACCCAAAGTGATTGAGCATCACTGAAGAGATTGATCCTGCGTGGATCTGACACTTGTTACCTTTAAAGACTGTGCTTCTTCCAGACGGTTAGGTGTTATGGTCTAGAGCATCCAAGAGGAATTGTGGATCGCCAAGTAACCTAGTCTGTGAAGGTTTGGATGTCACCTAAAGACTTACCACGAATGATTAGGCGAGATCTGTGTGACCTTAGCTCAAGAAAAATACGGTGAGGACTGTATGTCCGGGACTGGGTGTCCTCGAGTTTAAATACTCAGCCGCTCCAACCTGACGTACAACTAAGACAACAATTGGAACTGGTCTACCAAATCATTGTCTTCACCAAGATTACTGGTTTTATTTTCTCAACTCTTTCATTTCCTCATTTCTGTTGTTGTGTGCTTGTTCATATTTGCTTGAAGACTTTCTTAATTTCTTCAGTTCAATTTCTTCAGTCTGTCCGTCTGCTTTCTGTGTTATCCTATATTTACGCTTTCTGTACTCTGTGCTTGTCTTCATTCCATTATAATGACCATGCTTGTGTTATGTTATGTTTACATTTAAGTACTTATTCCGCTGCAAATAGTTCTTCATTTAAGAATTTCCTCATAGGCAAATTCTTCAGTGAAGAATTCATAAAAATCGCCTATTCACCCCCCCTCTAGTCGATATAACGCACTTTCAACCTCTGATGACTTATTTATTTTCCAAGGAAAGTATACCCAGGATCTTCTTGCTCGTGCGGCTCTTAGTGATGAGCGCACTGATGAGACTCCTATGGACATGGATTTCCCTAATATACAACACATAAACTAGAATAACAAGGACATGGATTTTTTACATGAAATAGTAATTATGGTAAGAAAAGAAAACAAAATCACTATGAGAATTTAAGACTTACTGCAAATGGTTCTATTGCAACCATCTTATTCTTATCTGAATCAAGCCATCCCTACAAAGTAAAATGTGCACGGTTTCAAGGAAATAGCATTCGTAACTAGATAATTTTACTCATGAAACATATAATTACGATCAAAAAATATCAACATAGGAACAAACTAAAATACTAACCTGATGCTCTTGTAGTTTGACACTCAAAGTTTCTATTGTCTTCGTGTAAAATAATCTGCCATTAGAAAGTAATTAATCAGTCTATCTTACAATTCAGAACTCGCAGCATGATCCTTTTTAGAGGTCACAAATGTACCTTTTCTGGCCGAGTTTTGCAGATGTACTTGTGATTTCCAGCTGGAGGAGGTCTAACGTCTACGTAGGATGGCAAAGATTGTAATTGAAAGCATGCATGCAGGAAAAAAAATCTAGGATGAACTATGATGTTGCAACTTGCAAGATTAACTAAACTCTTGAGTATATATCTTTGGACACCACGAACAAAGGGTGGGAATTGAACATTTGTAGAAAAGAATGAAAACGCAAGAATATAAGATTCCACATAATAGATGGATGGTCAAATTTCTGATTAACAAAGGTCTCTTCAAAGAACACCTTTATAAAGTAACACATGTCTAATATACAGTTTATGTTTGGTTCAGATGAAACAAGTCTTAAATTTTGGTACCAAAAAGAACACAAAACCAAACGACTTATAGGGCATGAATTTCAATAAAAGCGATACAATAGGAACCGTTGCATTTCGTTGAAATAAACAGCAGATATTTATAGCAGTATGTCATGCCAGTGCTACCATAGCAGTTCAATACTCATAATAAATATTAGCATATGCCAACTAACTCCTTGAGATGAAATGGAGCATGGACCACATCGAATAGAACGTGGCGAGTATTTATTTTTTTTAAGAACAAGAAAATTAACTTGTCAACAAATACAAAGGGAAGTAACATCTTCAAGTATACGCTCGTTTGTATTGAGATAAAGAACAAATCCTTTCGGTCCCAAACAAGTTAGGGTAGGCTAGAGTTGAAACCCATAAGATCTTGAATCCTAGTCATAGTTCTGGCACATGGATAGCTAACTTCCACATGTTATTATCATATTGTATAGGGGCTTCTTTGCTTATTTCCCTCGCATGTATATGTACACTTAGCATGTTGGCCCCGTTTAATAGAAGCTCACTTCATAACATCGTACCAGAGCAAGGGTTAGGTTCCTCAACCGCCGCCCTCTCTCCATCAAGCCTCTCCCATGTTCTTCTTGGCAGACCTGAGCTGATCCTGCTGTTGGTAGCCACCACCATTCTAGGCCGCTACTATCGCTGTCCTTCTCGGCCGGCACCGCATCGCTACGCCGCCAGCCTCCCTGGCCGCCAGCCTCCTGGTTCTTCTTCCCCACCTTGCTGCTTCCCAGGACCAAAAAGAAGTGGTACCCTGCACCAGACAAGAAAACTGGATGTTTGATCATCTGTGCCCCTTGCTGCTGCTCGTCTTGAACGACCTGCTGCTGCTCTTCTCCTGGTCTGCTGCCGCCATGAAGCCCCTGCTAGAATGGCGTCCTCCACCACCACCGGTGCTGTCCTAGTCCCCCGATGTCCTGTTATCTTTGATGCATGGAACTACAGGGACTGGGTGTGGTACATCAATCTGCACATGAGGGGCCAGCTGGTCTGGGAGCACCTCACAGGTGCTCTGGCCTCTGGCCTGTCCTCTGCTGCCCACTCCTTTGGCTAAGGTGGCCTTCCCTGTTGATGCCGGTAATACCGATCAACATGAGATGTTAGATGCCTTTGAGGAGGCCACTAAAGAGAAGAATATCATAATCAACTTCACCTGTAAAATCAATGGACAAATGATGATGCTCAAGCCTCTTCTATCTTGGTGAACAGCATGGATGTTGATCTCACCATGGATGTGGTGGCCCTTACCATCAGATGTGGGAGCACCTTTGCCGTCATTACGAATCTACGGGGGATGCCATGTATCTCTCTGTTGTTCGTCAAGAGCAACAACTACAACAGAGAGATGCTAGGGAGATGCTACTGTGGATGACTAGGAGATATCAGCTGTGTTGTGCCAATTGGGCTATCTGGGAGCTGATGTTTGTCACACATGTCAGTGTTGTGTGCAGCAACAAGCTAAGCTGGAGGGTTCGTTGCCTCTACAAATTCCTCACTCGCCTCCGACCGGAGTTCGAGCAGAGTCGTGCTCAGCTGTTGGCACGCCATCCTCGGCTCTCTCTGGAGGCCCTTGCTGAGGTGCGATCTGAGGAGTTACGTCTATGCAGCACAGGCTTGTTGTCGTCCTCTTAAGCAGCCCTGGCTGCCCGCGCTTCACCGCTATTGCATGGTGTGCCCTCTCCTACACCGGTGCCAGCAGCCTCCACTAGTGCTTTCTGCACCTATAGCAAGCAGGATGGTCACATGATCATGGACTGCATCAAGAGGAAGAGACACGGTCGGTGTGTTGGCCATCCTCGTAAGGACCCAGGAGGCTCCTCTAATTTTCGTGAGGGCTACATTCAGAAGGTTCACCAGGAGATGCTCACCTTGCTGCGCCGCCTTGCTGCTTCTGCGCCATCCTTAGGTTCTGCTAGTTCTGATGGTCAGACGTCTGATCCACCACCACACTCTTCGTCAGGTACATCTTTGCTATAGATTCTTGATTCTGGGGCCTCCTTCCACATGACACCTGAAGCAGCACAAGGTTGTGGAGGAACAAACCTTGCTGCTACAAAGTGTACAACAGGTGTTGAAGGACCTACTTCAACGAGTTGCACTAGATATCGCTCTAGAGGTGGAAATAGGCCAATGTGGCAGCAGGAGTTCAATCCAAAACTCCTAGAGCACAAGATCTACTCAAAATCTTAGATAAGAACACCAAGCTCCATTATAGGAAGTGGTGGTAAATAGTCTTGTTACAAACTAGAGGTGATGACCTCTATTTATAGGGCTTTGGGAAGCCCCCACATCTCACTTCTACTTATAGCTAGAACACTCTAGAAAACATCACTTAAGATTCACCATTCTACTCATAGCTACTCATAGCTAGAAGACTCAAGAAAACAGTAGCTAGGTTAAGAAAAGAAAAGAAATACTAGACTAGAGTAGAAGTATCTAGAAGTAGCAAACAGATTTGACATATGTTTTTTCCTCTATTGTTCCTCATCATTCTCCCCTAGTTGTTTGGAACTCGACCTCAAGTTAACTTCATAGAGCACTTCTTCTGGATGGTATAGTCAAGTCGCAACATTGAATGCGTTGGATATCCCCATCAAACTTGGAAGATCTATCACATAAGCATTATCATTTATCTTCCTCATAATAGAGAAGGGCCCATACCTTCACTTCTAAGCTTCCCTTTAATACCTAAAAGGCAATCTTTCTTTTCAGAGGTAGACCATCACCTTACCACCAACTTGGAATGATTTCAGCCTCCTTTTGCAGTCAACAAGTTGTTTATATTTCCGATTTTGTGCTTCCAAAACACCATGAATTTCTTCAAACAACTCAGTGTAATTATCAGTGAAGGACGATACTGAATTTGAGTTTCCCCTTGATGGTAGCTTCACGAGGTCCACCAAGTGTGATGGAACTTCAGCGTAGAGAATGAAAAACGAGTTATTGTAGGATTACCCAAAAAATTGTTCACCACTTCCATTTGTCCATCTGTTTGTGGATAGGCAGTGCTAGAAAATTTGAATGCAATGCTGACTTGCTTTCACAAAGTGAGCCAAAATGCAGCAAGAAACTTGCTATCGCGGTTTGAGACGATGGACCTTGGAACTCCATGAAGTCTGACCACTTCTCGAAAGAATAGGTTTGCCACATGATGAGCATCCGTTGTCTTGCGGCAAGGCATGAAATGAACCATTTTAGAGAATCTGTCCACGACCACAAACACAGCATCATTCCCTCGTCTTGTTCTTGGCTAACCCAAGACGAAGTCCATAAAGATATCCTCCCATGGAGCAACAGGAACAGACAAAGACATGTATAACCCTGTGTTCTAGACCTAGCCCTTGCAATGTGGCACCGCTGAACAAACTTCCCAACATCTCTTTTTAGTTGTGGCCAAAAGTAACGAGCTTCGAGGTTAGCGATAGTCTTGTCCCGTCCAACATGGCCACTAAGATCACTTCAATGGAGTTCTTTAATCAGTTTCTCACGTAGAACTTCTAGGGATGCACAAACGATTATTTTTTAAGAGATAGCCATCTTGCACCAAATAGTCACTGCCTAATGGCTAGCCCCTTACGTGCTTTACCCAAACATGGCTAAAGTCTTCGACATGCCATACAACTCCTTTATTTGATGCTTGTCTGGAAGTTCAGCCTCAAAAGAAGTCAAGAGACATGCATGATGACTCAAAGCATCGGCTACTTGATTGTTTGCTCCACATTTATGCACAATGAGATAGTTAAACCTCTTCAAATATGTTACCCATCTTGCTAGCATACAATCTACATGTTTTTGATTTCTAAAGTGCTTCAAAGATTGATGGTCCGTATAAACAATGAACTCGTTAGGCAGCAAATAGCTTCCCGAGTTTTTAAAGCTCTGAAAAAGGCATACAGTTCTTGCTGATAAGTACTTCATTTCTGCCTTGTTTCGCTTAACTTACTGAAGAAAGTGATGGGCTACCTCTCTTGAGATAAAACGGCCCCAATGCCTACTCCACTTGCATCACACTCCCAACTCAAAAGTCTTGTTGAAATCAAGTAGCGCCAAGACAGGAGCTTGTGAGAGCTTTTGCTTGGTCTCATTGAAGCTAGCTTTAGTCGCTTCTATCCATTGGAACTTCCCTTTCTTCAAACACTCAGTAATTGGTGCCATGATAGTGGTAAAATTCTTCTTTTGCAGTAAGAAGTTGTCGCCTGCAGAAAATTGCAAGGCCATGAAAACTTCTTACCTCATAAATGGTCTTCGGAGTTGGCCATTCTCGGATTGCTTCAACCTTAGAATCATCAACACGAATGGCATCGTATGTTATGACAAATCCTACGAAAAGACGTTGTGTTTGCAGGAAAACACGCTTCTTCAAGTTCACATGGAGCTCATTTTCCTTTAGCACATGATTAATATTGCACATTATCATAAGTCTCCCTTTGTTGCATCTTCCATGTTGACCATATATTTGATGTGTTTTGCATGCAAGATGCAACAATGCTTTGCTTATTGATATTGAGAATGCCCCATAGCTTTCCCATAAATTGTTGGATATTTTGACATAGTCTATGTGTGCTCCCAAAAATGAATGGATTTTTTTGCAGCACGCTTGCTTTCTTCCCGTGCACCATATGTATGATGAACATTGTTGCTATGCCTTATGCCATGCATACACATATATCACTTGCCCATATTTTGTGCTAATGGTGATGTGCAAGAGAAGAGATGCATCATGATGGATGATGCATTTGTGTACCATGCACAAACATTCTTTGCTTTGTTTTGCGTATGTGTAGGCTTGGAGTTCATGATGAGCGCCCATCATCGCACGGTGACACCATCTCTTTCCCATGGTGGTGAGGATCTCGATCCAAGGACGGATCTTCCCGAGGGGGGTGGTGCGGGATGCCCTAGTGTCATCACCATTGACTTGGCTCCATCGCCAAGGGACACGCACACCGCACATACTAAGGTGAATTCTATCCACTGTGGGTGTCTACTTGGTTCTCTCTTGGATGGTATACTGGTTGACCCTCCCTTGTGCATGTGTAGGTTTGAGCTGAGCTTTACGCGTATCAAGGAGTGTAGGCACAAGAGTACGAGAGTACGACGATACAATCCAAGAGGAAGGCATGGAAGCAGCGACGGAAGAAGACGGAGCAATGGATGAAGGAAAAGGTTGCACTACCGGAATGTCCGGTCATCCCGAACAGATTGTCCAGTCCCCGTCGGAGCCACGCATGAAGCTCCCTGGACTGACCAGACTATTCGCCCAGGGGAACCAGACTGTCCGATCCCCCAAACGGATTGTCCGGTAGTATGGCCAGCGAGTAGAATTTGGGGAAAGTCCATGTATGTTTCCCTTCTTGCCCCTCACTAACCCCTTCATGCCTTGGACCTAGATATACCTCCTCCCCTCCCCCTTTCTAGGGTTAGCAAAGCATTTAGATAAACTAGAGAGAACTTTGCTCATCTACCCCTTCATCCAAATCTCTCAAGACCCATCTCTCCTAGAAATTTGGATGAACTACCACAGTTATCTTTACTTTCCTTTGTTATTGTTGAATGCTTGAGATCCATCACATTGGCTTGTGATTTGAGGGATACTTGGTGTGGATCTTGTCCAACTAGTGTTTTCCCCATGTGTTCTTCGTGTTCTTCATGATTTCACCTAAATCCAGCTCCAATCGTGAAGATCGGGCCACCTACACGGCTTGCCCCATATCAAGTAACCTACAAGTTGTTGCTACCATACAAATCCCGCCTCCATGATGTGTTCCACGTCAGGCAGCTGAAGCCCATCCATGGTAATCCCCCTTACGAGCCTCCCCAACTTCTGGAGATACATCATGGCAGGGTAGTTCCATCTCCACTCAAGGTGCTCAAGGCTCGTCTTAGTCATGGCGTGCAACAAATGTTTGTGCAATGGACAGGTTGTGCTGCATCTCAAGCTTCCTGTGAACATCTTACTGAATTTCAGCATAAGAATCCAACCTTCTGGCTCAAGCACGAGCTGCTCATGAAGGGGACTGATGCCATATAGGTCAGCACTATGTCTGCAGGTGCAAGCCCAAGCAAGACTCGGTGGCCACCACGTTATAGGAGTACAGGATTAGGTAAGTTCAAGCCTTAGGAAGTTTGATTTGAGTACGATAGGGTTTTTTGTCACAAATAGAAGGTTTCCCCTATTGTGTTCAGGTCTAAGTCGGTTTAAGGAGTCCTTAGTTTCCAAGTCATGTAAATTGCAGGATATATAATGCCCGGGACTGGTATTGAGAGAAACAAGCAAGAAACATAAACAGAAAAGGTAGGGGTTCTCCTCTGCAGCCCTATCTCCCCTTGGCATCATGGTACCCAAAGGCAACCTTCCCCGCCCCCGTCCTCCCACCATCCACCACTATGGGAACTTAGGCCCTGACAGCTGAATACCAACACCTGGATTACATTTGACTATTTGACAACCCAACGGACTGGCGCCCAAGGAAAAAAAATCAACATTAGGGTATGAAAAGCAAGAAATGTATCTCAGATGGGACAAAAATTTAACCCTCGGAACAGATTTTGGAAGAGCCAACCCCCACAAAAAGAACATCACATTTGAGAACTACCATCTTTTAAGACAAAATATAACTGTCTAATTGCATCACTTCTAGTCTGCCCTTTTTCTTGGCGATTGCACAGGAGACGCACTCACAACGCGCCTCCTTAACACACGCTTCCAAAACAGGGACCAGCAATATCCACCAATCTCACAAAGTTCCTACTAATGCGCACAAGGATGGCAGGATATAAACCCTAGTGGGTGGAGTCCTGCCCTCCCATCTTCACCACCACAGCAAGAGGTGATTCTCCGTCTGCATTTTTTTAACAATTATGACCATCCAACTTCCTACTAATTCACAACAGCTGACCTGTTTTCCCACTTCTACGAAAGCATGACTATTCACTCGCTAAATACCGTTCAACATAGCATTTCACGTCCTCCAACATGCCACAACAAAGGAGTGCCATCAAATAACTTATTACGGCTTACGTGCACATATTTCCAGGATAGCAAACTCCGCAAGAGCTAGAACGAACAATCCAGGATCCTCACCTGCTTCAGCGTGGCACCCACGACCTCCAGTGAGGCGATCCTACCCTGCTTCTCGGCCATCTCCACACAGACATGCGCCCTCGCCTTTGCAAGGTGCTCGGCCTCGTCGCTCACCTGTTTCGCCTGCGCCCTCACTGCCCAAACATAAACAGCGACAGCATCAACCAAGACGGCAAAATTAGCAGCGCGAATCCAGTGATAGAAACAAGAGACATTTGAACCTAAGGCGATGTCGCTGTCGTGAGCATCTATGGCCGTGCGCTGCCTCTGCTCCTCCGCTGACCGCTTCGCTGCCTCCTCTTCCAGATCTGCAGCCCAGCGACGCAACCATCGACAGCCGAGGCGGCTGGAGAGTCAGAGCGGCGGGAGCGGGGGCGGGGGAAGGGGCGGTGGGTTCGCGCGACGGACCGTTCATGTAGCAGCGTAGGGTCCTCATGTTTGCCAGGTACTCCTCCATGGCTGCCGGCCGGAGCGGTGGGTCGAGAAGGAATGTGACCTTTCTTTTGTGTGTTTGGGGGCGTCGACGGGTTAAGGGCCAGTTTGGATAGTGTCACACCGAAATTTGCCTCGCCTGGAGTCTGCCTGAAAGAGGTGCGAGTGTTTGGTTGCTGTCCTGAAAAAGTAACAGCTTGCCTGGCCTGGTGGCCTCACAATTTGATTAGCCTGGAGTGTGACCCAGGCAAATTGCTTAGCCTGGGCCAGGCTTTCAGGATAGGACGCCTGGGTAGCTGTCTGGTGCTAGTGAGCCGCTGTTTCAAGCATTTTTGTCGTTAGGGGCCTTCAATGATGGCAGGATATTGAGCGTGTTTGGTTGGCATCCACGCCACCTCACGCCTGGCCTGGATGCTCCCTGAAGTCTGCCTGGCAGTTGTTTTGTTCGTGTCCTGAAAGATAGAATGCATGCCTGGCCTGGCTTGCGGAGGCCTGTGATTAGCCTGGTAAAGTTAAATAAAAAAATAGGAAAAAAGATGGATAGCTCAGGCAGCTGGATTAGCATGGCCCCAGGTGTCCTGTTTCTTTCGCCTGGCCCATGCCGCACGATGCCTGGCTCCTACTTAAGATTTTTTTTAATCGCTAAATGACAAAGCAACACTGCAGCAGGGCAGCACCATGCCAGGGATGAACCGAACGCATCGATGCCAGGCTAGCCTGGGCAGGCGGGAAAAGTCGACCTCACCAGGCCGACGCCAGGCACTGAAAATTTCCAGGCAAGCAGCCCAGGGTGGGAACCAAACACGCTCATTATTTTAATGCTACACCAGGGCAGGCCATGAACAAAAAACGTCTACGCCAGGCCAGCCTCACCAGACACAAAACGATGAAGTGCCAGGCTCAAACCAGGCAACCTCTTTTTTCAGGCACGAAGCCGAGGCCACTAACCAAACAGACCCTAAGAGCGTGTTTGGTTGGCAAAGGCACCTGGCCTGGATCATGACCTCGTGAAGGGAAATGTTTCCCTCCGAACGGCCGGCGGAACACTCGGTCGGTCGCGTCTGGCGTGCGACTTCACTTGATTAAACGACACACTCATTGCCCACGTGGTCAGATCATTAGCGCAGCCCACATGACCCACCACCACTCATCCTCTCTCAATTCTTATCCAGCCTCTCCTTGTGCGCCCCCTCGCAGCCACTTGTTCCCCTCAATCTTATCCAGTCTAGCCCATCGTCACCTACCTCTTGCTGCCATCCCCTTCTGCCATGGATGAGCTCAATCTTCCTATCTCTAATCAAACACGAGCCACCCATTCCCCTGCCTCCTCTAGTGCGAGATCCCATCCACATCACCCATCTCCCATCCTTCCTCGTATTTTGTTCCTCATCTGCTGCATAATGGAGCGATGTGAGGCGGATCGGGCATCGGCGCATGGGGCCGCACGGCGGTGCTCGCCGGCCGGGACCAGTGATGCTTCAGAGGGGAGCCAGAGCTACAACGGGGAAGGCTCGATGCTGCAATCATCAAACGGAGATGCTGGAACCAGCGATTCCAGAAGATACAATGATGGCGTGAAAAGCTACAACGGTTGTCAGATTTTGCTGGAATCGGCCATGCGCACACCTATGCCGCCGCCGAAAGCTGCAACCGTTGCCGGAGATGCTGGAACCAGTGTTGTGCGGAGCTGCAATGGGTACTAACGGAATTGATGTTGTTTTCCTGCTGTAATCGGCATCTTTCGATTTTGCTCTAACCAGCATAATTTTTTGCTACCACTGGCTTTATGTTTTGCTCGATCTAGCATCCATTTTTGCTACCATCGTCTCGGTTTTTTTGTGAAATACCTTTTTTTTTCTACCACCGTGTTATTGTTTTGCTGGAACCAGCCTATTTTTTTGCTACCATCGGGTTTGGCCACAAGCGACGCCGTCGTCGGCATTAGTGGCGCAACCGGTGGTCCGCAGCACCGGCATAGAATAGTTTACAGTCGGCGTCATGAGGGGTTGAGGGCCAGCCAGCCATGGATGCAATAGGGAAGGGGCTGTCATGGATGCAACAGGGAAGGCTAGCCAAAAAAGTTGCTATGGGGTCAACAGGTTTTTGTTGCGAGTCAGAAGCGGGCTTCAAAGGCGAGTGTCGGCGGCGAGGCAAACGGTGATGGTGGAAACGAGCGCGGGACGCGGTGGAGAGAGGACGGGCGCCTTGTTTCTTAGTGGAGATGCGAGAGGTGAGAAAGACGATGAGGAAAGAACTAGATAGAGCGGTTACATGTGCTGGGAACAAAAGGTTGTACGGGGACCGGCCCAAATTTGGATCGGTCGACCGGCGCCTATCACCCGCCCCTGGTGAATCGGCTCATAGCCTGGCCTGGATCACGTACAAAAGGGATTAGCCTGGCCAGCTATCCAGACACACATTTAGCCTGACCTAGGCGAACCAGATCAAACGCTCGAAAGCAAGTCGCATGGCTATCCAACCAGCAACTCATGCTGACAAAAAGCGACCATAAACTATCACATTGCTTTAATACTAGTCCAGGCCGAGGGCTGCAACCAAACACCATCCAGTCCGGGCACGCACTTAGCTTGACCCAGGCGAACCAAATCGGACGCCTAGCGGCCGAAAGCAAGTCGCGTGGCTATCTAAATCCAGCAACCCATACTGACAAAAGCGACCATAAACTATCACATTGCTTTAATACTAATCCAAGCCGAGGGCTGCAACCAGACACCATCCAACCCAGGCAGCCTGGCCAGGCAAACTTCATTCGATTTTCAGGCATAGACCAGACACCTATTTTTCCTAGGCATGGAGCCGAGGTAACCAACCAAATAGCCCCTAAGTGCGTGCCTGGATAGTTGGCCAAGCTAATCCCTTTTGTACGTGATCCAGACCAGGCTACGATCTGATTCATCGGGTCATGAACCAAAGAAGGTGCAGGCAGCTGTGAGGGACACTCCAAGCCAGGCGCCTTTGCCTCAGGATGACAACCTGAAAGTGCGTTATATCGACTAGAGGGGGTGAATAGGCAATTTTTACAAATTTGTCACTGAAGAAATACAACTTCAGGAATTTGCTAAGTGACGAACCACTAGCAGCGGAATAAGTACTCAGGTACATGCATAACAAAGCAGTAATATAGTCATCATGATGAAATGAAACATACACTGAGCACAGGTAGCGTGAAAACAGGATAAGCATGTAGAAGACAAGATGACTAAAGAATTAGGATTGAGGAAATTGAGAAAGTCTTCAGTCAAAGTCTTCACACAGTAACAATCAATTTCATCAACACATGAATGAGGAAATGAAAGTGTTAAGGAAATAAAACATGTAGCTCGGTGAAGACAGTGATTTGGTAGACCAAGTCCAACTGTTGCGGCAGTTGTACGTCTGGTTAGAGCGGCTTGGTATCTAAACCAAAGGATACACAGTCCTTACCGTATTCTCCTTGAGCTAAGGTCACACAGACCTCGCCCAATCACTCGTGGTAAGTCTTCAAGGTGACTTCCAAACCTTCACAGACTAGGTCACCCGGCGATCCACAATTTCTCTTGGATGCTCTAGACCTTGATGCCTAACCGTCTGGAAGATGCACAGTCCTTTAAGGTAACAAGCGTTGGTTCCACACAGGAACAATCTCTTCAGTGATGCTCAATCACTTTGGGTTTTAGGTGTTGGGGTTTTGGGTTTTTCCTCACTGATGATTTTCGCTCAAAGTCCTCGGAAGATGGGATGCTCTAAATGACAAGTGTCAGTTTCTCTCGGAGCAGCCAACCAGCTAGTGGTTGAAGGGGGGCGACTATTTATAGTCGGGGAGCAGGCCGACATGATAAGACATAAATGCCCTTCAATGATATGACCGTTAGGTGGATAAGATATTTGGGACAGCTGGCGCATAGCACAACAACGGTCGAAAATTTGAGCTCTCAAATTCCTTGGGGCTATCATGTCAGAACACTTCAGAGACCAGAAGATCTTCGTCTCTGTCACTAAAGAAATTGGTTGAACTGTACGAGATTTCTAGAGGCTTCACTCGAAGGATTGGGTAGGTGTAGGATTTGACATGAGCATCACTTGGAAACATTTCCTTAGTTTTACCTCGACCCCCTTTAACAGTATGGTGTTTCCTATGACTCAAGAAAGAGAAAATGAAACTACAAGAACAAAAGTCTTCACGCTTCATAATCCTCGCATCAATATCAAAGTCTTCAAGGTCACACGAATTTCCTCATTTTCAAAGTCTTCAAGAAAACCAAAGTCTTCAACTGGAGACATTCATTTTTAGGGGTCGACTTTCTTCATAAATATCAAACTCCTCATAGACTTATAGAACATGTGTACACTCACAAACACATTAGTCCCTTAACCTATAAGTCTTCAATACACCAAAATCAGTAAGGGGCACTAGATGCACTTACAATCTCCCCTTTTTTGGTGATTGATGACAAATAGGTTAAGTTTTCAACGGGGATAAACATATGAAGTTTCAATATTGATATTGAGGAATTTGATTGCAGGATATAGAAGAACTCCCCCTGAAGATGTGCATATTTGAGGAATTTACTTTGGATTGCAAATGCACATTATAGAGTAAAATCATGTTGATCCCCCCTATATCTTGTAATTTCATACACGCATTTATCATATGATATGAAGAATTTGAAATGCATGATGAAATATGGTGTCTGACAAAATTTGGCATGCATGCATTAAGGTTTTTGAGGAAATGAGTATGCAGAAAGCAGTTCAAAAGTATCAGACCACCATCGGACTTAAGTTTACAACTCAACCAACAAATGCTTCAGAAGAGCGAGAGATGTAACTTAACGAGAAAAAACAGCCCATATATAAGACCCGCTTGAAGACTAACTAAAATTTCTTCCCCTTTGTCAATGACCAAAAGGGACGAAAAAGGAGGACTAATGCCCCTGAAGAATATCATCATGATGTCGATGGAGGAGCGCCAATGTTGTCGGGGGTCGTTCGTTGAAGTAGGGTCTGCGGCCTGCCGTAGTGTCG